CCCCTTTTGAGTTGTGAGCCGCCCTGAGTCCCCTCAGGGAAAAGGGCAGCATACAAATAAATTAAACCAACCAAACCAACCAACCAAGACAAAGCAGTTGTCGATAGTAAATTCGCTGCTTGTTCTTCTGCGAGGATATGGTTTTCCTCTACCCAAATTTCAATTCTATTCAAAAGGAACCTAGCTTATATTTTTGCTACAATGTCAATCAGACTGATGGGCCTGTAATTACTAGGATCCTTTTAATTCCCCTTTTATGGGAACAACTATTTTATTATTGTATTCACAAGTAGGATTATGTAAGCTGTTAAGAAGATTCAGTTCCTATTGCCAGGATAATTTCCTAACCATTAGCAAATCTAAATAAAAAAATCATGGAAAACATCATCAGGGACATACCAGTTGGCAATTACATGGTGAACAGGTTAACTTTGTATATTTAAGCGTAACTTTTTCCAAGACTGGATCTTGGGCTTCCATCATCAACAGAGTACACTTAGAGCAAAAGTTCATTTGAATTTACTGCTTAAATTAAATAATCATAGTTACCCAGGATCCCTAGCCCCATTAATTAAAGTACATAAAGCTATGTTTACCCCATGCTCTTGTTTGGAGCAGAGGTTTGGAGTCTATACTCAGTTACAATACTCGAACAAACACAGTCCCAGCACTTGAGATGTATTTTGGATGTAGATCTAAGAACATCTGTTGCAGCAGCTAAATTGGGAATTCATACAATTCATGCACTATCCAAAATTAGAGCATTTAACTACTGGCACAAAATCAGTGAAATAGAGATTGATAGACTCCCCAAGTTATGTCTATTAGATAAAATAACAATCACAAGTTTCTTGGATCACCAAGCTAACAAATTTTGTAAGAAACTGTAGCCTTCCTGTCTCTTGTGTAACAGAAGAATGATTTTAAAAAAAGAGCTACCCAAAAAATTAAGGATATAGAAGAACAAAATGATACAGCTATCCTTAGTAAGGTGGGTAACTTGAAATGGTTGAGCAAATAAAAATGTACTTTTCAAATAGACAGCCATTTAAAGTTACAACTGCCAAAACATCTTATGGAGATATTTACGCAAGCGATATTTGAACAGCTTCACACAATGGTCAGATATAGAAGATTCAATTCAAACCTTACAATGGACTTCTCTTCATTTGCAGAGTGGCAGAGTAGAAGACCTGTCTCCAATCCTATTTGATTGTTGCCTGTATAAGAGGGTGAGAGACAGGTACCTTGGTTTATACACCCAAACGAATAACCCATTGGGATCCCCATATCAAAACAACTTACCTTATATGCTGTCAGAATCTAAAAATAACATTTAACATAGCAATCTGAAAATAATATTTAACACAGGAAAACTTAAGCAGAATGGTTCAGTTGAGATTGGCATATGTGGGATTGATTGGGGTAAATTGTAGGGGTGACACCAAAATATAATTTTAACATATATTTTTTATTTATATATTAAGTTGTATTTTATTCCAATTCCATTTTAAATTATTTTTATGAAAGAGTCGGATTCACCAGTTGGTGTCGCAGCAGGATGGTTATGGGATAATGGAGCTTTGGGAGCACTGCAAAACCCAGCCAATACCTGCTTGCCAAGAGACCCTATGGGGCCAAAGCCACTGTGAACGGGTAGTGAAGAAAGGAAGAATGTTTTGTAGATCATGAGGAAACAGTAATTTCCTTGTTTGATCCAAAGAAAACCCCCCTGACTGGCAGCAGAGACAATGGCCATTTTGGCAAGACCAAATCTATGACAATCACAACAAGAACGTGTGTTGGAGCAATATGTGGGCAGTGAATTGAAAGTGGGTGAGACAACTTTCACCTTCCCACATTACAGACTTAACCCAAATAAAAGAATTCATAAAAAAGATTGTCCAAAATGTTAAGAAAGCGGTGATTTATTATATGGAGAAAGATTACAGACCTAAAAGTGAAACAAACTGTCAAAGGAAGACTATGAAGCTTTAAACTAGAAAAGGATTGGAGTGGAAGAGTAGCATGAAAAACGGTTTAATTTAAGGATAATATTGCTTGATTATTGGAAGAATTTGTACAAAGAAAGAGGAACTTTGCTTTTTATTCTATTCCCCCAACCCCACCCTGAATTTTGCTGTGTTTAAAGCTGGATTTTAAAGCAGGGTGCCATCTACTGGTCAAAGATGATATTATATTAGTGCTTCGGGGGAATAATCTTGGAAACTAAGAACTACCTGATATTATTGGATAATACAAGAATAACAAAGAGGAGAAGAAAGAAAATAGTGGAAGGCAAACAATACTTGGAAGGCATTTTTATTAATATCTACTGGAGTTTTAACTGCTTGGAAGTATTAGTAAACCATTTGAAAACAACTAACAAAGTTGGGAGAGAGATGGGAGAGATAGCAATAATTTCTAACATGGAACAAATAGAATATCTTTTAAGAATTCAATATAGAAAAGAGAATGATCCCCTAAAAATAATGGGAAACTGCAGATGGGTGCTCTAGAGATTCAACAGCAAGAGATAGATGCTGTGGCAGAAGAAATATTTAGATCAAATAAACATGATAAAAGGAGTTACAAGATACCAGAGGAGAAGCTTGAAACATTCATTAAAAAGGTCAATGAGTTAAAATTCAAAAAAGTACAAGAGATGATGGATAGATATAGAATATTTTTTAACATGGTGGTGGTTATTTCATTAAGTGTTAGAAAAAAGAAGTAGAAAGTAGAAATTGGGAAAATAGTATTATATTTACTGAAACACATTATAATTATTATGTATACACAAATGTTAGAAATGGAAAAACTACAATTATGTATTTTTAAATGGTGATATAATTTTCAGAATTGTATGCAAAGTATATTGACCCAGATAATCCACTGTTCACCAAGGTCTTATGGATGTTAAAGAAAAAATCATAAATAAAATTATATATCTATATTATTCCCCTGGCTCAGCTGATAAAGGAGGAGAGCTTGTGGCTTAGAGGTTAATATAATTGCCTAATATGTAGAAACAGCCCAGGTTTGAATCCCACCAAGAGTATGGCTAGCTGATGAGAGCTAAATATCTTGAAATAGATATATCCTAGTCTCCCTTCTTTTATTTGTCAGCAAAAATGCAACACAAAAATAGTTTTTCTGTCTGGATGGCTCCTGGAGTGGGACTGAAAGGCAAAAGGGAAGCAGTATGCTCCTTCCCATGTTTGGGCATACCAGGTGCTTTGACAAAAGAAAAAAAAACACTTAATACACACACACACATACACACACACACACACACACACACAAAGTTCCCTTTGTCCAATTTGCAAAGGACACTAATTTCTACTTTTGGATCAGTGTGCTTAATCTTGCAGAAAGTACTGTCACAATTTATTTTCATTTATTTTTTTTATAAATAACAGCCCTTAACATATAGTGTGGAATGTCTTCCCTCACAAAATAAATAATATAGATTAAAAGACATCTGGTAATACTGTCCATCTATAATTGCTTAAAAATTTCTTGATATCACATTTAAAGAACTCCTTAAACAAAAGCTTTGATTAAGAAATTTTGCAATAAGAGTTAGGGGATTGCGTGAAAACGATCAGGAGAATTTGAAGCTGACCTTTTCTGAGGCTCTCAATCGTTTGGTGGGAAGTCCGGGACTCAACTTTGATTGGCAGATCCAAAAAATTTACCGCCATAATTCGTGGACAGCAAAACAGAAACAGCTCCCGAGAGATGTAGTTATATACTTTGCTACAAAAGAATCCAGAAACGCGATACTACAAGAGCTCTACAATAATAGGCTGCGAATTGATGGACAGGACCTGATTGTCTTTAAAGAAATGCCACCCCAGATGTTAAGAGCCAGGAGAGACTATGTCTTTTTAACTAAAGAACTTAGAAATAATCAGATACAGTACAGATGGGAGGTGCCATTTGGTATTACAGTTACACTTGATGATCAAAAACATCGCCTTAATTCACCTTGCGAAGCTCGAGACTTTTACAATAAGATCTTAAAGGCGGGACCTCTTGAATTACCCGGACTTGTACAAAGACAAGGAGAAGTAGAAGAGAGACAACCAATCACACAGCTACAAGGCGGGAGGTGTTGTTTCTCCCCTCCGGAGGGGCGGAGGAACAGAGAATAAGTACTTAGTTATGCTTCCAAAACATTTGCTTAATTTTAACTTGAATAACTTTGTGACTCTGTCTTGTATAAAATGGTATAGTGGTATACCGACNAATGGGGGAGACGGGGTCCCCTCCTTCTTGAGCCCCTTATGATGCGGAGCCTCCCACAGGGGACCTGCTTTTCCTGCAGAGCCCCCGGTGGTCTTTGGCTCTCTGAGGACCAGCTGATTGTAGGTGCGCTGCTCCTGGGCTCGTCGGCCTCCAGACGTCCCACCACCCAACACCAGTTCAGGGGTTCCTTCCCCCCTCCAGGGGACAGAGAAAGGGGTGGGGAAGAGAGAGAGTCAGAGAAAGAGAGATGGGGGAAGAAAGGGAGAGGGAGGGAAAGGGGGAGACAGACAAGGGGCACAGACAGACAGAGAGGGGGGAGAGAAAGAGAAAGGGGGGAAGAGATAGAGAGGGGAGGAAAGTGAAAGAGAGAGAGACACACAGAGAGATAGAAGGAAAGAGACAGACAGATGCGGGAAGAGAGGGAGAAAGGGGAAAGAAAGAGAAGAGGAAAGAGAAATAGAGACAGAAAGAGGGAGAGAGAAGAAGAGAGACGAGACACACAGAGAGAAAGTGGAAGAGAAAGAGAGGGAAGGAAAGAGAGAGAGAGAGAAGGACAAGATAGAGGGGAGGAAAGTGAAAGTGAGAAAGACAGAGAGCCACAGAGAGATAGAAGGAAAGAGACAGACAGATGTGTGAAGAGAGAGAGAAAGGGGAAAGAAAGAGGGAGGAAAGAGAAATAGAGACAGAGAAAGAGGGAGAGAGAGAAGAAGAGAGACGAGACACAGAGACAGATGGGGAAAAGAGAGAGAAGGAAAGAGAGAGAGGGACAAGAGATAGAGGGGAGGAAAGTAAAAGTGTGAAAGAGAGAGAGGGACAGAGATAGAAGGAAAGAGACAGATGTGGGAAGAGAGAGAAAGGGGAAACAAAGAGGGAGGAAAGAGAAATAGAGACAGAGAAAGAGGGAAAGAGAGAAGAAGAGAGACGAGACACGGAGAGAGAGAAGGAGAGAGGGACAGTCATGTTATTGGGTGGGAATGAGTGACGTCGAGTTGGCCACGCCCACCCAGGTTTTGTGGCTGTCCCTGTGTTTTCTGTGGGAAACTGGTCCAAATGTCTCTTTGAGTGTTTAAGATTGCAGGCCCCTCCTATCCCCCCTGGGCTGCAAATATTCTCCTGTCATTTGATGGATATTTGCTAAAGAGTTTTCACCCTGCAGTTTCTTTTAAAGCTCTCTTGTGTTGCGGGGGGTG